GGGACACCTAAACCAAGGGAAAATCAACGAGAAAACGGAATCTGGAGGGCTCCCTGCCCTAAAAGGCGAGATGTATCGTCCCACCATCCATATCAAACACTGTCGGTGGTTACTACACGTCGGCCACTGTCACAACTACACTCTCTCCCGATGGCATGTGGGCGGAGGCTCCGCCCAGATGCAATCAGATGAACCGAATAAACTTCAACAATCAGATGAACCGAATAAACTTCAATAAAGTAACTCGAGAGTCGAGAGTTAATCTGGGCCAGTCAGCTCAATGATGATACCTCAAGCCTGTCACCCTTAGTAAAGGGTAAGAGAAGGGGGGAAAGGAGAAAACCCACACGACTGGAAGACCGATTGGTCCTTACGCCTATTTAGCACAATGTAGCGGTGTTTTATTTTGTAAGGGTATATATTGCATCACAGCATTTGAGCTTTTGAGTTCTTTGTCGGAAGTAACGCGTTTGTCATGCAGCAACCAGGCAGCCAGGTACTCGATGGCTGTCGCTTTCGAGGGGGCTCGCTAATCAGGGTCAGCTACCGTCTCCCCCCGGAATTATGAAGGTATAAAAGCCATTTTTCCAGTCCATAGTTGTGACGATTGTGCGGGAAAACAAGGTAGACGAGAGGAGATCTGATAAGTGGCAAGGTATTTGTAACAGAGCGCGGTGGGGACCACCGGCTTCCCCGACACACCTGACTGTTTCGGGCCTGAAGGATACCTTGTATACATTAATGGTCGATCCAACGATCACGGTGACATGCATCCTTGGAAGTCCTCGTGCACGAAAGCCTAGAACACCCAGTATGCCCCACAGCTTCTTATTACCCACAACCTGTTTGCTTGTTTCCGCGCCCGCCCCCCCCCGTCCCCCCCATAGGACACAAGATGAGTTTGAATTCTCCTTCTTTTCCCCTTTTAATGTTTGAGGTTTTTTTTTTTTTTTTTTTTTTTTTTGGTGAAGGCTATTTTTTTTAAGCCCAAGCAAGTCGATTACCTGTCACATCTGATCTTTATAATAAAAAATTATTTAATATTTAGGGACTTAGGAAAAAAAAGGACTCGCTAAACTGGAACAGTTTTGTTAGCAGGTGATAATATTATTTCAACTGTGTTACATTTTGCATCGTATGCTGATCCAATTATGTTTCCAACTTGAAAAAACAAAAAAATAAAAAAATAGAAAAATGAAAAAATGAAAAATCATGTGTGAGGTTTGAACGTCGAAACGGTGAATAAGATCAAATGAATGCACTTGCTCGTGGAGAGTGGTCGTTTCTATTACTCGAGGTAGGTTAGGATTCGATGAACATCGTGTTGAGATAGTCTCTGCTTTGTTGTCTTAGGGTGGCTGCTCTATTTTTGTTTGCTGTTTGATGGGACACTGGACCCGGTTTCCAGCAGGTGCTGCTCCCACCAATAGACAACAGCACCTACGAGGGCACTAGGGGGGGATGCTCTTCCCACGTGGAGCCCTATCCTCGCGGACGAAACGGTACAGGCGGCCACCCATCGCGACCCGCCGTCGATTGCACCCTTTCGATATGGCAGCCCACGCTCGCATGACACAGACGGTGGGAACGTTATGTGATATGACCCGACAGTACCTATGGGTTGGTGGGGTGCAAGTTGCCGTCTCTCTCTCTCTCTCTCTCTCTCTCTCTCTCTCTCTCTCTCTCTCTCTCTCTCTCTCTCTCTGAATGTGGAATGCCACCCATGCACCTCCTCGTTCACCTGTCCTGCGGAAGACGAAGGGCCATAAAACAATGGTTGTTGCCATCGTCGATGTCACCCGAGAGCCGACTTAGATGACTCTCGTCTCGTCGCTTCCCACAGACATCGGCGACAGCGACAGCAGGTGAGTCGTTTGTCTTGCTCTGGCCGCCCAATACCCCCTCATGGGAAAACGAAAAGCCTACTTTTTGTTTGCCGTCGCCACCCCTTCTTAGCGCCATGTCCACGTCCATGCACGGTTTTCACCTTTCATGGGTGTGGATGCTCACAACCCCCCTAGAAGGCCCCCCGCCCCCTCCGCCTCTGTCGACCTCCCTCCACCTCCTTTATCTACAGTATGTTACGGTACATGTTGTACTCCATACTCGACGCTACTGGCTCACATGATCGTTGCTCGTTGTCGACATCGATGAGAGAGAGAGAGAGGGAGAGAAAGAGAGAGAGAGCTTCTTCTTCTTATTATTATTATTATTATTATTATTATTATTATTATTATTATTATTATTCCGCGTCTTCTTCTTCTTCTTTTTCTTCTTCTTCTTGTACTTATTCTTCTTCTTCGCGGCTAGCACCCTCTTTTCGCCGCTTCTTCTTCCTCTTCGCTGCTTCTTCTTTTTCTTTTGCTTTTTCGTCTTCGTCTTCTTCGCCAGTTCTTCTTGTTCTTCGCGGCTAGCACCCTTTCATCGTCGCTTCTTCTCCTTCTTCTTCTTCTTCTTCTTCTTCTTCTTCACCGGTTCTTGTTCTTCGCGGCTAGCACCCTTTCGTCGCGACTTCTTCTACCTCTTCGCTGCTTCTTCGTCTTCCTCCTCCT